AATCCCCATCCTTATTTCCCAGCCCCGCCACGTTCCAAAAAGCCACCTTATATACTTTTCCCACTTCCTCTCTCCTTCTCCCCCCTCCGTCTCACCCCCTCCTAGTTTCCCTCCCTTTCCCACCACTTCTCTCTTATTTCATCCCATCTCTGCATTCTCCCATTCACCCACATCCTCATATACCCTACCTGTACATTCTTACCCTTACTTCACTCTACTTCTGCCTCTCTTTCTATCCTCCATTTTGTCTTCCTCTCTTCTGCTGTTAAATTATCTTCTATCCTTTCCCTTCTTCCTTTCAGTTTCTTCTTTGCCTCCATCACTTTCTTCTACACTTCCTAATTTTACTAGTACCACCCCTTCCCCTTTTTTCTCCTCCTTCTCTATCCTCTTTACTTCTCTCATTTCCACCTCTAGCTCCAACTTCCGCCATACCTCCTCCACTCCTTTCTCCCCTATCTAATTGAAGAAGATACAAGTGATTACAGGCCTTCAATATAATCTCCTCCTTTATCAATGCACGCTTGCCAGCGGCGCGGAAGTGCTTGAATTCCGTTCAGCATCCCGTTCTTATTGAGCATCCGAATTTGTCGGGTCACTTCTCTTCGGAGCACTTCCAGCGTCGGAAAACACACCCTCCGAAGGGGTTCCTTCATCTTAGGAAAGAGATCGAAGTCAGGTGGGTTCAGATCAGGACTATAAGCTGAGTGGCGGAGCCGTTCCCAGCCGTATTTTTCGAGAAGTTCGATGACCGGTGCACCGATGTGCGGGCGTGCATTATCGTGCAAAATCAACACATCACTTTGCAACATTCCTGGACGCAGTTTACGGATTTTTGGGCGCAAGACATTCTGAAGAAAATTCCCGGTCTTCGTCGAGCAACGTTGCAATGATTGAAGCGTTTGTGTTGTCAGCTGTTACAGTAGACGGCCGCCCCGCGCGCGGATCGTCTTCGATGCTTGTTCGACCTTCACGAAACTTCGTGTGCCACCTCTGTACTGTGCTACGATTCACAATAAACCTTCCACACGCTTTTTTTTAACGCGGCATGAATTTCGGGCACTTTTTTACCGCGCACTGTTTCGATGCGAATATACGCACGTTGCTCTGTTGCTGAAATCCGACCCGACGGACTGTTCTCGTTGTCTTTCCGAATTTTTGGCATTTTCCCTTTAAACGAATCCTATTACCATATGATACCAACGTGCTCTTGAGACTTCAGTCTACACACTGACGCTTCGATCAGCTGTCTACGTTGCCTACAACGCCCGCTAGAGCGTGCTGTGCATTACTTTTGGGACAACCCTCGTAGTTTCCTATACTTCCCATGCTACTTGTACTGTCCCTTCTTAACCTTTCCGTATTTGTCGGTCTTCCCCTCCTTTTTTCCATCCTACCCTTCCCCCTCTGTTCCTTCCCCCTCCTCCTTCTTTCCTCCTCCATCCTCTCACCCTTCCTCCCCCCTCAGCCTTTATCTTCCTTTTCTTCAAATTCCCCGCTTCTTTCTCTTAATTCCCCTTTCCGTCACCAGTCCGCACCACCTCTTTCATTCGCTCACCTCTCTCTGTTTCCTAACCTCATCTACCCACTCATTTCTTTAGCCCTATATTATTTTTCCTCCACCTTCCCCTTCCCTATACTTATTCTCCCCTGTCCCAACTCCTCCTCCACCACACCCTTCGCCCTTCTTCACTCCTCCACCCTCACTGTTTCCCTCCGAAATCCTCGCTCACTTTCTGCCCTGTCACACCCAGCACATAATCCTTCGTCGCCGGAAACAGAAGTCGCATCAGAAACTGATTATGTATATAGAGGTTTTCTGGGTCGCTGATTATGAATCCGGAGTCAAAATTTAAAAATTCAAAATGGCGGATTCAATATGGCGACTCCAAATGGCTAACTTCGATATGATATTATGGATATGTATCAAACTCAATATATATATGTTTTTTGATCATAGATGACAAATACAGAGTCGAAATTAAAAAATTTTTAATGGCAGAGCCAATATAGCGACTTCAAATGGTTAACTTTGATATGATACTATGGATTTTAATTTCGGAAATCTGATAACAAATTCGTGATCAGTGATCCAAAAAACCTCCATGTACCTATTTCTATCGAAATCGAAGGATTTTGAACATTTCTGTCCGCCATATTGTATCCATCATTTTGAATTTCGGCAATCTGATAACAAATTCGTAATAGGCGACCCAAAAAACCTTCATGTATCTATTTCTATCGAAATCGAAGGATTTTGAACATTTCTGTCCACCATATTGGATCCGCCATTTTGAATTTCGAAATTCTGACTCCAGTAATGGGCGATCTCGAAAACTCCATCAATCAATTGTCACCCATATAGCTATAATTGTTCTCTCTGACACGAGTTTTTTGTACAAAAGACACTGTTTTTTGCATTTAAATATTTATATAAACGATTTATGAGAATTACACATTACAACATATTTAACATTAGGTGTGTGAATTAATTCGGTCCGTTTTATTCCAAAAAAAAAAAAAGACTTTAGTATGGAAAAACATGAAAAAGTACACTAATCAAAGTATTTGCCATTGCTTGCTATTATTTCTTTCCATCTGTCTGGCAGTTGTTGCATTCTGTGACGGAAAAACGACTCGTCCTTCGAAGTGATCCATTCATTGAGCCATTTCTCTATTTCTTCATAATTGTTGAAGTGCTGGTCTGAAAGCCCGTGTGCCATCGATCTGAATAAGTGATAATCGGATGCAGCAATGTCTGGTGAATATGACGGGTGAGGTAAATGGTCCCAGCCAAGTGCTTCCAAGGTGACCTTTACAATCTTTCCAACATGTGACCGAGCGTTATTGTACTGGAAGATCACTTTGTTGTGTCTCTTTGCATATTCCGGCCGCTTATTCTTCAATGCGTTGTTTAGACGGATCAATTGTTGTTGGTAAAGTTCGGCAGTGATGGTTTGCCTCAGTTTTAATAGTTCATGATACACTACATCTTTCTGGTCCCACTTTATACAAAGTATTACTTTCTTGCCGTGAATATTCCGCTTTCGTATCGATGTGGATGGTTTTCCTGGATCGCTAATGAATTTTCTTCATTTGAGATTATCGAAATATATCCACTTTTCGTCTCCAGTCACAATACATGCAAAAAACCTTTTCTTTTTTGCCTGGCAAGCAAGATTTCAGACATGGCTTTTCGCCTCTCGATGTCTCTTTCTTTCAGTTCGTATGGCACCCATCTTCTGTCTTTGTAAATCTTTCCCATGGCTGCCAAACGTACAGAAATTGTTGATCGATCAACATTCAACAATTGCGCGAGCTCATGTTGCGATTGACACGAATCTTCATCGATTAGCGCCTGCAATTTCTCGTCCTCGAACTTCTTCGGCTGACTTGGACGAGGTTTGTCATCGACACTGAAATCATCACTTTTGAAAGGTCGAAACCATTCTCTGCATGATTTATCGGTGGGAAGCACTTTCACCATAAGCTTCTACGAGGATTCGATAAGCTTCAGCGGCTGTTTTCTTCAAATGAAAACAGAAAATGAGAACTTCCCGGAAATGCTTTTTTGGCTCAAATTTCGACATTTTCGAATCAGATAAACACGATGTTTTATTGTTACAAACCCAACCGTTTATCAACTAAATATTATCGCCAGATATCAAAACTAAAAAATAAAGCCTTTTGCAGACATTAGAGGTTAGAAAATTACATAATACAGCAATTGACCGCCAGATGGATCGAATTAATTCATACACCTAATAACATAATACTCGAATCAAAACCCAAAATACAGCAAGAAAATCGAATATTTTATACCTGAAAAACGATAAAATAAAATGAAACAAAAAAGGTGGCACTCTAGAGTGCCGCTGTGCTTCAAAGGGTTAAAGAAAACTTGCGAAAATGAGTGATCAGATATGACAAAATCTTTACATAGACTTTATTTAGGCAGTCTTTTACCAAATTGCCAACGAATTCAGACATCAGATAAGTTTGTCAAAAGAGCATGTCTTACCTTATTATTTTTATTTTCTCGCTAATTATCTTTAATTAATATCTCAATAATTATCATGGCTCTTTAAAATATAAAGAATTCTTTTAATAGGTGTTTAACAATATCAATTTTAAATCATTAAAGTAATATTTATGATATTCGTACTTGAAGAGTTCGAGAAAATTAACGAAAGCGTTAAGCGATCAAGAAATGTGTGTACAAGTTTTCATGACACTACAAATGTTCGTAACAGTAAGTTCGTAACAGAGAGTTCGTAACATAAAGTGAAATAATGCTTCGACATTAATCAGAAGTTGGTTGTGTCATCTGTATATCATGAACATAATCTTTTTGATAGATAATTTTATGTGTTTGGCGCGCTACAATTATACCATGTATAATAGGTATAATATATATGTATAATAGCAAATTGTATATAGATAGAGATAGAACTTATTAAATTGAATAAATAATCTTTTCATCATTTTAGAACTGCAATAATTATAGAGATATTAATTCTAAAAAATTGAAAAATAAGTACGCATGACGTAAAAAGGCGTGCTGTGTAGAGCAGTTAAAAAAGATATTTTCAGCATACTAACTACCTTCTAACAATAAATATCATCTGGCTGCAAAAAGCGAGTTAATAGTTGCAAACAATAAATGACAACATCCAAAATTGTACGCTTTATCTTGGATAGTTCCCTTATATTCATTATTGCTAAGAGACAATAAATCCAAGATATCTTTCAGACTTCTGTACAAAGTTTGTTTCACCACATTACACATGTTTCTCACATCATTTACTGATTTTCTTTAATTAAGATTCCAATAGTTATTGTACTTATTTGCAAAATTATAAAGTTTTTTTTAGTTTAATGAATTTTATTTATGGACACACACAAACAGATATAAGCATGTTGTTACGTGTATTGATCATTTTATACATAACAGTTAATGTTAAAAAAAACTATAAAAAACTAAAATATTACAAACATACCAATTAAACCATCATCCACTTGCTGTTGCTGTTGTGTATCTCCAGCAGGTTGCACTAATTTTGACAATAAGCGGAATAGCAAGGCAAGACCATCTAGACTGTCTGCACTGCGTAGAAATACTGGAAGACATAATGGGCGAAGTAATCCCCAGATACGTATCATGACTAGCAGTTCCCGAACAGTGTTCAAAGCCTTGTGATCTTTAAGAAGTTCATACTGCAAAATACAAAAAGAACTATAAAGCATAAAATATGTAAAATAATAAGTAAACAAAATAGATCATTCCTATTTTGTGTTTTCTAAAATTGTTTACTTTAAACGTTTATAAGCCATAAACTTATGGGCGTTATTCATATCATTGACTTTAGTGTTGTAAATCATGACATTACAACTTCTGCTTGAAAACGTTTATTTCAGCAAAATAGGACAACGGAAACATAAGCGTACACGTTTATTTTGAAATGCGTTGGAAATAAAATTAAATATAAACATAGCTTTCATAAAACAATGTTATGATTATTGAGATACTGAGACGAACTGTATTTATATAGTATTAATCATTTCAGCGAAACATTTGAGAACAGTTCAACACAAATGTTTAAGAAAATGAAGTTTGTTCATTATTTTTGAAGTTACATTGCGAGATATTTAAGAATTATAAATTATTTTCCACTTCTCCACTTTCACACTTCCCTCCCCCTTTTACTCCCTCTCCCTTCTGTTTAATAAAAAAACATTTGGCAATAACCATCAATTTCTAAAATGTCGACGAATAACTATTTAAATTACCAGCATTTATAATATTCTAGAATTCAATATGATTTAATTTTATTAGTTATTAAAGTTATTGCGAACGATATATAAAACTTGTAGAGAAATAATCACTTTTCTTAAAATATAAACTTATATTAATTAATTTGTCAAGGACAAATGTGATATTGTCACAAAATGAATCACTGTCACTAACAAGGGAACGGTCGGGGACATCGATTTAAATGGGCATTGGATATGTTGTAGAGGATCAAAAAATATTAGACACATATTTTTTTATATGTGCTTATCTCGATGTTTAGGGGTTGAAATCATCCCTTGAAAAAAAAACGGATTTTTTCGTTTTTATCAAATATCTTCTAAAATATGAGAGATATGAAAACATAGTAAATGTAAGAGTTTTACAGTATTTGATGCTCTTTGCACCTGTCAATTCAAATTTTTCAAAACATCAAATTTACCCTCCCCACTCCCCTCTCCACTCATTATTTTCGCAAATTTTAAAAATTTTGTAAGAACAAAAATTAAGGAGCATTGAATTCCGAATCCAACCATATATAATAATGTTACTTTTCGAGATACGGACTTTTCGAAAAATAGATGGAAATGTCCGTGTGTACCCGTAACACGCTATACATAGCGCTTACCTCACTCGATAATATACGCAACATGTCCTCTTCGAATTTCTTTCGAATAATAGGCGATTAATGCCGATACGGAGAATATGTAATCATAAAACATTTCAATATATAATAACGTTATTAATAACAATCATAGATTTATACACAACAATATTTCTATGCTTTGTCTTTATAAAAAGATATACGTATACGCTCTATGAAAGTTAGATTTTATGTTTGATAAGTCTGTGTGTCTATTTTTGTGGTGATTGACGTAAGTATTACGACGGAAGTGATATATGAATTGCCAAATCAATCATGTTTATTAACGCGGCGTTTCCATCGAATCTATGATACGTGAAAAACGCCGCATTCATGAAATCATACGTGATTGCATAATTATATCTAATATGATATTGATAACGTAATTATTTTCACGCACACGCACCACATATACACATACACATATACAATCGTGAAAATGTTGTGCCGTCGTATTATTGTCATATCTTCTTTCCATCCTGTTTACTTTCGATTTTGTCATAGTTCTAATAATAGATGAATATCAAGTGTCGTAGACATTATAGTTATGTGAGCTTTTTAAAGTGCTGGAAAGCAGCCACTTTGTGCGACGCAAATCATGAGTAAGCGTAACATGTACAGATACATTTCATATACAGGGTCACCGAAAAGTATCGGACCCCCCTAATATCTTCAGTTAGAATGCATTTTGGAGAAAATGTCCAATAGCAAAGTTGTACGGCTTCAAGCGGTTATGCTAGTAGGGTATGGCAGAAAACTGCCCGAAGGTGATCGCGAGAAGCTGCTCGAATGCGTGATGTCCGAAGGCGTTAGCGGGAATCTGCCCGAAAGCGTTGGCGGGGCCGATCTTTATTGTCTCACTCTTGCAGGCACTAATAGTAATACAAGCTCTTGAGCAAACAATGTGAATCACTGATTTGAATCTTTGATGCAGTGCTGTCTTCTTCTTAGCGAGCAGCAGTCACCTCGTGGACGAAAACGAATAGCCCCAAAAATTGTTTTTGTAACAAAAGAAGCCATAGCGCTTCAATTGATTGTCTCAAACATCTTCATTTTGTTTCCAATAGCCCAGAATTTTTTCGTAAATATTATTAATTGATCTATTAGATTTTCAGTTGCTCAACGAACTTTTTGCTAGTGCTGGTTGAAATAAACAAATCGATAGTTGGACCAACACTTAATAATTAGTATTTTTCTCTACTTAATTATTTAGATCAATTTCCTATCACTTACCTGATTAATTCTTCTTTGCTCTAATTAAGAATGGCGGAGCTTTCTGAAAGAGATCGAATAACACTGTTAATGATGCGAAGATGGGGAGATCAACAAAGAGGATATAAAACAGTAACGCGATTATTTAATGAAAATTTTCGAAATGAAAATAATAGGATCTCCAAAAGTACTGTAATCCGTACTATTCAACGTTTCGAGGACATTGGTAGCGTTAAAAGCCGCCCAAGATCTGGTAGACGTAAAACAGCAACAAATAATGATAAGGCATTAGATGTTTTACAGTCTTTCGTTGAAAGTCCCCACATTTCCATCAATCGCGTTGCACAAGAACACGAAATCGGTCATACATCTGTCAGTAAAATTCTGAAATTGAATAAATGGCATCCATACAAATTCCATTTGGTCCAGGAGTTGTCCGAAGACGATTTTGATAGACGCATCGAATTTTGTGATCTTATGATGGAGATGATTGTCGACGATCCTCTATTTCTTAATAATATTGTTTTCTCTGATGGGGCAACATTTGAACTGACTGGAAATGTAAATAGACACAACTGTAGATACTGGAGTGACGTTAATCCTCACTGGAAAAGAGACCCAATATCATACCCAATATCCACAAAAAGTTAACGTATGGGCTGGTATTCTTAATGATAGACCAGTTGACCCTTTCTTTATTGAAGGCAATTTGACAGCACAAGTATACACAGTCATGCTTCGCAAACAAATTGTTCCAGCTATTCGAGACATAGCTGGTGGAAATATGGATGAAATTTATTTCTAACAGGATGGAGCTCCACCTCATTATGGTGTCATTGTCCGTCAATATTTGAATGAGGTCTTTCAGGACAGGTGGATAGGGGCCGAAGGGGTCATATTGAGTGGCCACCTCGGTCTCCGGACTTGACCCCACTTGACTTTTTTTTGTGGGGTTACTTGAAAAGTAAAGTTTATGCCACCAAGCCTCAAGATTTAGATGATTTAAGAGGGAGAATAACTCGAGAGATAGAACTAAGACCGCCGGAAACGTTCCGGAATGCGGTTTCAGCTGTTCATAATAGATTAGCACATTGCCAGGCTGTTGAAGGGCAACAATTTGAACATTTGTTGTGAATTATTTGGTACAATTGAATATTTTGCCCAAGCTGACCAATTGAAATGAAATTCGCCTTAACTGGTCGGAATCACACACCACTCTTGCATTAACTGGCCGGAATCACACACCACTCTTGCCTTAACTGGTCGGAATCATACACCACTCTTGCCTTAACTGGCCGGAATCACACACCACTTAATAAATTGTTAACTTCAAACCTTTATAACTCAAAAAGTACTTAATGAAAAATGTTTTATTATAGTGTTTTGGAAAGCTCTCGAGATAAGCTATAAAAATATGCAATAAAATGTTGGGGGTTTCATTAAAAAAAATAAGGTTGACCTTGAAATGACCTTGAAGGACATGGTCAAGGTCATCATCTTACTCCCCGATTGAAACCATACAACTTTGCTATTGGACATTTTCTCCAAAATGCATTCTAACTGAAGATATTAAGGGGGTCCGATACTTTTCGATGACCCTGTATAAGCAGTAGTACAAGCTAGTGTCGCAGTAAGTATCCATCGTTTCACGACGTATCATTTGTGAGCGCAAGTTTGTAAGTACATATTGTTTTCTCTCTATGTGTGTGTTTAAAACTTTTCTTAATACATTCCTTGTTAAATACATAAGTATTTATTACGATAAAGATTTACCCTTACTTACTCCCGACAATGACCTTGACTTTGACATATTTTATCAAGGACACTTTCCTGAATATCAATCAAAAATTTTCGCTCATTGTTTATTAAAAAATAATTAACAAAAGAAATTTCATAAGTAGAATGTAATTTTCCGACACTGTGTACATAGACACAATTATACATTAAACAATGTTAAACAGTACATACAGGGTTTTCAAAAAGTCTTCGAACGATAAAATATCTCGAAAATAATCAGTTTTTGGAAAAAATGTTTCAGGCAAAAGTTGTAAGGTTTAAAATGATCTATTTACTGATCTTATCAGTTTGACCTTGGCTAGCATCAACAAGGTCAGGGCAAAGTCACCTTGAACTTTTCAAATAGAACGCCCTACTTTTTTTGGCATATTCTTATAACGTATTTCAAGAGCTTTCCAAAACACTACAACAAAGTATTTTTTTGTTAAGTACATCCCGAGTTATGAAGCTTCAAAGTTACAGTACCGTCGGTATTAGCGTTACCCAAGGTGTATCGCGTGGAGGTTGCACGATCGGATTTACACCTCTTGTGTGCGTGTGTGCGCGCATGCGTATGCGTGTGTGCGCGCGCGTGTGTGCGTGCGTGTGTGTGTGTGTGTGTGTGTGTGTGTGTGTGTGTGTGTGTGTGTGTGTGTGTGTGTGTGTGTGTGTGTGTGTGCAACAAAATCGACCCATTTCTGAAGCGGTTGGTCACTGGTGATGAAAAGTGGATCACTTATGACAACGTCAAGCGAAAACGGTCGTGGTCGAATCGCGGTGAGCCGGCGGAAACAGTGGCCAAGCCAGGATTGACGGCCAGGAAGGTTTTGCTGTGTTTGGTGGGATTGGCAGGGAATTATCTACTATGAGCTGCTCCCCTACGGCAAAACTCTTAACTCGGAACTGTACTGTCAACAATTGGACCGTCTGAAGGAAGCAATCGCCAAGAAGCGGCCAGCTTTGGCCAATAGGAGAGGAATTGTGTTCCATCAGGACAACGCCAGGCCACACACATCGATAGTGACTCGCCAGAAGCTCCGGGAGCTTGGTTGGGAGGTTTTTATGCATCCACCTTATAGTCCGGACCTGGCATCAAGTGATTACCATCTGTTCCTGTCCATGGCAAACAATTTTGCTGGTGAAAAATTCGCTTCAAGAGAGGCTTGTGAAAATCGACTGTCTTAATTTTTTGCCAATAGGGACGAGGGCTTCTATGAGAGAGGCATAATGAAATTACCTTCAAAATGGCAACAAGTTATCGAACCAAACGGCGCATATTTGACCTAAATCGGATCATTCTAACTATGGTAATTAAAGCCTTCAATTTCATGCAAAAATAATGGATTTCTTTTTACTACACCTGATATATCATGGTTCGAGAAAAATATTTCATTTTAATATTTTTCAGGATGATGCAATTTAATCCCTTGAATGTTATAATGTTACTCTACAACTTTCATTGCTCTTAACTTTCCACAAAGTCCGATAACTCTAAAAGAAGTAGAAATGAAGGAGAAGATTGAATATTTGTTAAAAGAAATAGAAAGTGAAGAGGAATTTGAAATAGAAGAGGAAGAAAATTTAGATTTTTACAATACATATGAAATTCCAGAAGCGGAAAATATTGATTTATTAGAGGAAAATGAAAAAAAGAATATCTCCCGGAAGAAGTTATTTGTAGCTCCGTTGAAGTAGGAATATCAAATGATTATAAAAGGCAAGCTGTGGAATACTGGAAGAGCGGTAAATCAGGATCAAGATCGCTTGAAGGAGTTAAAGAAAGATACAGAAAAGTAACATCGATGCGACAATTATGACGATGGGAGGACCAAATCAATGCAGGAGAGAGTGGCAGCAGAGATGAAAAATTAAAAAGAATTTCTGAATATACAATAAACCGTTTTAATGAAGCGTTTGAAAATAGAATAATTATTCATGACATTGACATTGCTCGATGGGCTTCTCGAGCACAAGAAGAGGAAAATGTGGTAGGATTCAAAGCTTCCGAAACATGGGTAAAAGGATTCAAAACTTCATATGATATCGTCTCTCGAAAAATAACAAAATTTGTAACAAAAAAATCATTGTTATCGAAAACAGATTTAGAAGATAAGTGTAATACATTTATTGAAAATGTAAAATATTATATTAAACGATACGGCGTAGATAATGTTTATAATTCGGATCGGAGTGGATTCCAACTTAAATTTCACTCTGGTCGTACTTTATCCCAAAAAGGTCTAAAAAATATAGAAGCTGTAGTACAATCTACATCAGCAACCACACACAGTTATACAACCGACTATTTCTGCAGATGGTAGACTATTATCGCCTCTTTTTATTAATTTAAAGGAAGTAACAGGAACATTCGGTCTTAGAGTAAAAGAAACTATGTTCAAAGCACCTAATATTTTTGTTACGGTTTCTAAATCAGGCAAATTAACATCGAGTCATATAAAAACTTGGTTGAAAGAAGTATTTTTTCCGAATGTTGGCCCACAATCCGTATTATTATTAGATTCTTGGAGTGAACATTGTTCCAACATTGAGGAGGAAAATTGAGAAGACGAGAACAGATTTTGTAACAGATATTGTTTTCCTAACAATTCCAGCCGATGCAACAGAAAAAATACAACCGTTAGATATACGGTTAGATATACGTTAAGTATACGGCTTCCGATTATGGAAAAATTTTATTAGGCATTTTTCTGATACTGTTATGTTATTAAATCTTGCAATTGATCTTCATGCTAGAAATAATATATTGAAATTGCAATCATTAACGCATCATTAATTTTCGTCGCCCAGATTTCAAAATTTATTTAAATATGCCTGGTTTAAAAGTGGATATATACAGACTAGACTTTCAAACATCGGTTGAATTTTGCTTCCAAAGTGATTTAAACATAAAATGCGATATTTGTGGCCAAACTGCTATAATTACTTGTTCTTGATGTAAAAAATCATTGTGTATGACAAATTTTTTCTATAATCATCACCTTTGCAATGAATATGTACCATAAAAATAACACAAATTCATTATTCGCGTGCGTGTTCATATGCAAATTGTGTACTGTTTCTTTATCACATATATTGTTAAATATATATTATTGCCAGTATTATTCTTCCTCTATATAATAAAAAAAAATTTATTATATTATTCCTCTCTATCCTATTCTTCTACATTATTATTCCGTAATTAGTATTAAGCTCTTCGTTATATATTGTTTAGCAATTGTTAATGCTATGTTATATTTTCATACCGCACGCTTGCTCTTTCTTGCAGAGGTAATAGAATCTGTGTTTCCTTATTTCATGCATTACGACTTTATTTTAATTCGTCTTAATCGTGTATCGACTTGCCATTACAATAAACATATTCATTTCAAGAAATATACAAATATACATTGGAAATTTCTGTACAAATAACGACGCTGTACACGCATTTGCTACTGTTGCCACATATGCACATTTATCTGTACTCACTGTTTTTTTGTATAATACATGACATATTACAATTAATTCGTTTTCATCTTGCAATAAGATAAATTATGCACAGATAGTTATTAAGCATAGCGCAACTGAAGAGAAAGAACGCCACGTAACAGTACTTACCTACTCGCACAATGCCTACCACGATGTCATCGTACTGTTTTTCTAAAAATTGGATCGAGGAATCATACTATTATTATATATGGATGGATTTGGAATTCAATGCTCTTTAATTTTTGTCCTTACAACATTTTTTAAATTTGCGAAAATAATGAGTGGAGGGGGGAGCGGGGAGTGTAAATTTGATATTTTGAAAAATTTGAATTGACAGGTATAAAGAGCATCAAATACTGTAAAACTCTTACATTTATTATGTTTTCATATCTCTCATATTTTAGAAGATATTTGATAAAAACGAAAAAATCCGTTTTTTTCAAGGGGTGATTTCAACCCCTAAACCTCGAGATAAGCACATATAAAAAAATATATGTCTAATATTTTTTGATCCTCTACAACATATTCAATGCCCATTCAAATCGATGAGGGACGCCCCCGACCGTTCCTTTGTAAATGGAACACTCATCAAATATGAATTCAAGATGGGATATTTTAATATACTAAAATTAGAAGTATATAAATAAAAAATCTTACACCACCAGTCTTTATCTGCATCCTTTGTTCAGGTAATCTAGCCAATACATTCAGAGCCAAATCAGCAACCCATTGAATGAGTTGTTGTAACGATTGCAACGTACTTGGTTCTACTGTAAATTCTTTCGGATCAAGATGTAATAGCACCTAGCACAAATAATATTAAAAATAAAGCAAAAATTGAATTAATTTTATATCATTAATTTCATTTTGTTGTATCTAATTAGAATTATCATTTATTACCTTATCAACATCAGTAATGACGTCTGTTATTATTACCGCGGTTAAGCTCTCTGCTGGTCCTTTGTCATGAGATATCATATCCGATGGTCTCAATAGAGACTTGAAGGCTGTAGCTACTGAGTGTATCATTAATAATGACGATAAATCCCCTGCTTTACTCTGTCCCGACACGAGCATTCTGAATATTATACAGAGTGTTAAAAAAGTATACCGACAAATCTTGAAAGATAATATAGGATATGTAAATAATATAACATAAGATAGAAAATTAATAAAATAGGAAACTAATGGTTGGAAACGCATTATGAAATATAGCGTTAAAGAAAAATATTATTATTATACAATCGCACATTATCGATATATCTTTTTATCTCACAAGGTTTATAATTTTTTTTAATACTTTATATAAAGGGAGTCCCAAAATTCACGCAAGAAGTAATTTTGATAGAAAATACAGGTTTATAATTAAAAATGGTAAATTTTTTATTAATTCATAAAGTATACAGTACAGGGTTATGTATGGAATAGCATATCGGATAAATGGCCTCCACGGCTTTGCTGGCACATATGTACTCTTTTGCTGAAATTTTCCATGACCGTTTTGCATAAATGTGGCTGAATTTCGTTGATATAGCGCTCAATTTCCTCCTTTAAGGTAGTGGTAGTAAGGCGTAGGTGGTCGTGAGTTTGTTGGCATAAACCTTAGACTTCAAAAAATCCCAAAGAAAAAAGTCCAACGGCATTAAATCGCATGATCTGGGCGGCCAAATCTGATCACCAAAACGGGAAATTACACGACCAGGAAATGACTCATGCAGTAATTGAATTGTTTCTCGGGCTGTATGGCATGTGGCACCGTCTTGTTGAAACCACATGTCGTCCACATCCATATCTTGCAATTTAGGCACAAAAAACTGGATTATCATGTCGCGATAGCGAGCACCATTAACTGTTATCGCCTGACCAGCCGCATTTTCGAAGAAGAATAGTCCGATGATGCCTCCAGTCCAAAATCCGCATCAAACAGTGACACGTTGTGGATGCATTTGTTTCTCATCAATCACTCGTGGATTTTCTGAATCCCAAATGCGACAATTTTGTCGATTAACCAAACCATCAAGATGAAAATGAGCCTCATCGCTGAAGATGATTTTGTTCGAAAAATCAGCATCCATTTGTTGTTCCATAATCCATTCAACGTTTACCCGACATGCTATTCCATACATAATCCTATAGTGTATACTTTATGAATCAATAAAAAATTTACAATTTTTAATTATAAACCTGTGTTTTCTATCAAAATTACTTCTTGCGTGAATTTTGGAACACTCTTTACATATACATTACATCACATACGACCACACGCACGAACATATATACATGCACGCACACGCACAGAGGGCCAAATAATTTGTTACAATCTATTTTCTTTAAAATTACTAAATTTGATGATTCTGAAATTTCTAAAAGTCAATAAGTTAATAAAAGTCAGGGCGCTATTGTAACAATATATTCTTGAGACCAAGTAGAGCAAAAAAGTCTAGTACCATTATTTTTTCTTTACAAATAGACAAACAGTTAGCGAGATAGCGTGTATTAAATATTGAAAAAGTTACCAAGTTTTCCTTAAATATCTCAAAAAATAATAGGCAAATAAAAAAATGTTTCAGACAAATGTTGTTTAAATTAATTGGTAAAAAAAGACGGTGTAATAAAAAATTGGGGTTTCCGTTTAAGAAAAATAATGATCAGTGAATATCTCGAAAGTGGTGCCATTTGTAAACAAAATAGTATAGTTGTTTTATGTCCCCCTTGAAATCACACAACTTTTGTCTGAAACATTTTTACTAAAAATACTTCGTTACAGAATTATCGAGGTGCGTTTTTTAATGGCACATCCTGTATACAGAGTGGTTAGTTTTAAGTTGCCAACCCCAAATGTGAAGATAGATTGGGTTAAGACAAACATAAAAGTCCCATACCGTTTTGCGATATTCTCGATAATTATTGAGTTATTAATTACAGAAATCGGACAAATGAGCGCGAACTGAGATGGATGATTGGAGAAACGTCGTAGCTTCTCGGGTTACAGCACGACCCAATCGACCCAGCAACTGTTGGTGGCGTGCAGCAAGCCAAAGATGCAGCGAGATAAAACCAATAGCGCGTTGTTCTTTCCCTCGTTGCGCACCGGCAACAGTTTCTGGATCAATTGTGCCGCGCCGTCGCATGAGCAGCTGCAACGCTTCTCCAATCATCTATATCGACGCTCTCCTACTCCTCAGATTTCTTTCATTAATAATTCCATAATTATTGCGAATCTCGCAAAACGGTATAAGACTTTTATGTTTGTCTTAACCTGATCTACCTTCACACATCGGGTTGGCAGCTTATAACTACCCTATATATACAGGGTATCTCAAAATTATAATACACCAACTCTATAGGGGTGTACAGCTAAGTGAGAGGATTGAAAAAGCCCTGTTCCATTTAGCAATATCTCATATAGTTTTTTAGTAATAACCACGTAAAGTTTGACGTTTGTCACGATCATCGCGGTCTATAAACGCTTAGCGGCGAGTTATCGAGCTGTGTGAAGTTGGCCCCTCGACCAACGAGAATTTAATTTTGACTATTGCCATTCGTTTGTCGTTTAGTAGCGCTTGGTAGTCTATTCCTAACGTTTGGTAGCTAAAAGTACTATAGTTCCCGCAATAAATAAAAATTGTATGTAAAGTTGGCCCACCCGTCTCGAAAATTCGGTTTCCACGATAGTCTGGATAATTTTGACTATTACCAATTGTTTGGTAGTGGTTTGGTAGCGCTTGGTAATCCATTCCCAACGTTTGGTAGTCAAAACTGCAATAGTTCTCGCAAAACATTATAATGTGAAGTTGGCCCCCCGGCTCGAAAATCGGTTTCCACGGTGTCCTGGATAATTTTGACCATTACCAATCATTTGGTGGTCGTTTGGTAGCGTTTGGTAGTTCATTCCCAACGTTTAGTAGTCAAAACTGCAATAGTTCTCGCACAAAATTATAATGTGAAGTTGGTTCCTCCCCCCGGCTCGAAAATCGGTTTCCACGGTGTTCTGGATAATTTTGACCATTACCAATCGTTTCATAGCGTTTGGTAGTCCATTCCCAACGTTTAGTAGTCAAAACTGCAACAGTTCTCGCACAAAATTATAATGTGAGGTAGGCTCCCCCGGCTCGAAAATCGGTTTCCACGGTGTTCTGGATAATTTGACCATTACCAATCGTTTGGTAGCGTTTGGTAGTCTATTCTTAACGCTTGGTAGTCAAAACTGCAATAGTTCTCGCACAAAATTATAATGTAAAGTTGGCCCCTCCGGTTCGAAAATCGGTTCCCACGGTGTCCTGAATAATTTTGACCATTACCAATCGTTTGATGGTTGTTTGATAGCATTTGGTAGTCCATTCCCAACGTTTGGTATTCAAAACTGCAGTGGTTCTCGCACAAAATTATAATGTAAAGTTGGCCCCCCCGGTTCGAAAATCGGTTTCCACGGTGTCCTGAATAATTTTGACCATTACCAATCATTTGGTGATCGTTTGGTAGCGTTTGGTAGTTCATTCCCATCGTTTGGTAGTCAAAACTGCAATAGTTCTCGCACAAAATTATAATGTGAGGTAGGCTCCCCCGGCTCGAAAATCGGTTTCCACGGTCTTCTGGATAATTTTGACCATTACCAATCGTTTGGTAGCGTTTGGTAGTCTATTCTTAACGCTTGGTAGTCAAAACTAAGTGGTCGGCCGAATTGGCCGATCCGCGAGGATTCGGTCGCCAGACGGCCGAGGCTTTCGCCCCTGCCTACCGGAAATGGTGGGCAGGAGGGGGCGCGGACTCTCTTTCTACTTGGTGCAGGTACTAACGGGGCATGGATGCTTCGGAGGGTACCTGCACCGAATAGGGAAAGAGCTCACTACCGAGTGCCACTGCCCGGAGCCGGAGGACTCGGCGCGGCATACCCTCGCTGTTGAAGAATCTTGAACGACTCTTAGACGACGCTTCAGGATCTCTCTATAGCAAATAAAAATTTTTGTTTTGAAAAATCTTAAGTTATTCGTTAGCCCACAGCGGCGGAGAGTTATTCGTTAGCCCACGGCGGCGGAGAGTTATTCGTTGGTCCACGACGGCGGAGAGTTATTCGTTAGCCCACGGCGGCGGAGTGTTATTCGTTGACCCACGACGGCGGAGAGTTAATCGTTGGCCTACGGCGGCGGAGAATTAATTAGTTGGCCCACGGCGGAGAAGTTTTCAATACAAAACAAAAGAATTAAATAACTAATTCGAAAGCCCCTGAGGACGGAGATACATGGTGAACTCTCGCAGCTCGCCGTTGAGTTCACTTGCTACTTTGCGTGGCTCATCTCCGAATTCCACGTTCGCGCTTTAAAGGCATTCCTTATGTTTTTAAAAGAAAAACATCATGATGCCTAGCAACCGAGAAAGCTGAAAGGTTGTTAAATCGATGTTCGTTTTAAAACATGGAAAGGAGGAGAGTCAGTCTTTCCTAGAAGCTCATCGAGAACAGACATTTATTTCTTCCTTGTTTTAGGTGATTTTGTCGTCTTCTCCCCGTTTTCTATGTGGAATACGCCGCCTTCCTGATTCCTGCATGGCTCATCGCCGACTTCCCGGTTTCTGCGTAGCTCCTCGCCGCTCTCCTGATTCCTGCGTGGCTCATCGCCGACTTTCTGGTTCCTGCGTAGCTTCTCGCCGCCTTCCTGATTCCTGAGCGGCTCCTCGCCGGTTTCCCGGACTATCGTGGCTCCTCGCCGCCCTCCTGATTCCTGCGCTTCTTCTCGCCGGTTTCCCGGATCATCGTGGCTCCTCGCCGCCCTCCTGATTCCTGCTCGGCTCCTCGCCGGTTTCCCGGATCACCGTGGCTCCTTGCCGCCCTCCTGATTCCTGCGCAGCTCCTCGCCGGTTTCCCGGATCATCGTGACCATTCGCCGCCCTCCTGATTCCTGCACAATTTCTCGCCGGTTTCCCGGATCATCGTGGCTCCTCGCCGCCCTCCTGATTCCTGTGCGGCTCCTCGCCGGTTTCCCGGATCATCGTGACTCTTCGCCGCCCTCCTGATTCCTGCGCGGCTCCTCGCCGGTTTCCCGAATCATCGTGGCTCCTCGCCGCCCTCCTGATTCCTGCGCG